GCTTTCACCTTGCATCTCCTCAGTTAGAACAGGAAGTAACTTCAGAAAACTGTATGATCGCACGTCTAAGCATAAAAATTCTATGATACCATACTTGGCACGTATTTTATGTGATGAAAATAGCGTCAGGCAAGAACTGACTAACCTTTTTTCATCCAGTAAATAAACAATCTCCTCCATCCACCCTTACATACCTTCAAGTTTTACTTTTATGATTTCTATTATATTTATGGTCCTATTGATTCTTTGTTTTACTTTCATAACTGCAAACACCAACTTATCTCTATGACTGCTGTAATCTTTGTTTTTTCCCTCACCATATCATGTAAAGAGAACATTATATTCAATATTTTTTAATCATGCAAGGATTTGTATACAGCATCGACAATACTGTGTGAAACAAGCCCACGAGAATTTTCACTTGTATTATTATTATTATTACCTTAGCTGTTATCATTATTATTTCCATTTTATATGCTGCATGTTCTTTTTTGATATTAACCCCATTGTAAATGTAGAAAAATTTTCTGTGTGATTAATTTTATTTATAATTTGAGGAAATTAGGTGCAATATTGTGAATAATACTGAAAATTCCATTTTGTATCACAAGTACTGTTTTCGGAATAAAGTAAATTATTATTCCTAACAATTAGGTTTAGTCAGATAATTGTAAGCACGCCTTTCAGTCACTGTCTCATCTGCTACAACTTCTATTTGTTTGTACACAACGTAACCCGTGATAGAATACGTTGTGAATTGATGAATTTCTTAGCTTCTGTTTGTTTCAGACTGAAGGCGTATAGGGCAGTTGTGGTCGTGCTGACACTTTTTCAGTCTGTGGCGCTTTTTTGGGAGTCAAGCACTTTCGCCGCCCCAAGTAAGATACTTTGAACCTTTTCCAACCCCTCATTATATGGTACATTATAGAGTATCACACTTAGTTTAGTATCTAGTCTTTTGATGAATTTTAACAGGATGTCTACCCTAGTTACCAATTCTCTGTCAGGTTCGCCAGGGTTTATGGTTCTGGTCAGGATGCTCAGAGGTGTAAGTTCACAGACCAATCTGCTTTGATAGTTTAGATATGCTGGCCAGTTTTTCCAAACATTCTGCATTCGTAGCCTTACCTCACTTTATATCCCGCCGCTCAGTCTTCAGCTCTTTTACACACAGATTTAGTCGTTCTATTTTCGAAACAAGTTTTGAAGCTGGGCTTGGTATCTGAAACTTCGTGACACACACACAAGTTGCAGTGAAGACATGTATCAGACGGCGAGTTTGTTGTAGGGATGTTACTTCTGGTTGTCAGCATATTGTTGCCATCAGTTACAGCCACAGTAGATGGCACTGACATGACAGCTCGACGCTTGCGGCGTATTGGCAAGCTGTTCGTCTCATTTCCATATTTTTTGCTAGTTGTTTTGCTCGTTGTTGGAAGCAGTCATCAGGTTAACGGGTGACTGAGTTCGTGACATTTTATATGATTAACCATAACTGATTCTTGAAAAAGCTTTCGGTTACAACTATGGAGCTGTAGAAACACTTATACCAGTCTCACAATAGAAATAGAAATATATAACGAATCAAGCTAAAACGCAACGCAAACGTTGAATGTACCGGTTATAGGGGTTATGAGTATAGACAAGCACCCTATATTGCTCCTGACAACACGTTTGCTCCACTACCATCACATGAAGACATTAATCATTCGAGTAATTTATCCGAAATAACGCTAAAGAGTTTTATGAGGTGAAGAAACAAACAGTCGTTATTTACACATTAAGCTTTCATCAGATAAGATATTGCCTACAAAAGCATTGGCAGAAGGAACTTTTGGAGTAAATTATTATTAACATTGGAGTGTCATAGACTTCCTCCAGGCAACACCCAAGGAACAGTTCTGCCAAAGATCAAAACTCGGGTGCGCACCAGTTATTTTTACTTCGCTTTCTTGGCTCCTATAATACATTTCTAGCAGCGCCATCACTGAAAATCCTTAAATAAAATAAATAAATTTATTCTCATAGTACAGTACATGAGGGACGCCAGTTTACAGGCATCATCTAGTTGTTACAGAAATAGAACCATATAATTCAATCACAATTTGCAGCCGGTAGCAAGATATGCTTTACATGTTCGCTGGAGATTATACATACACCTGAGAAATGTTAATCCCAGTAGTATAAAACAGTTTTTGCACTTATATGCAATCATTTCTGTGCACAGTTGGAAAAATCTGCTAGATTGTCGGTGAGTGTAACACATCAGGAAATACAGAAGTATTGTCTTCGCATTAGCAAAAAAACCAGGTCTTTGGTGGATGTGAAATTGGCGGCATAACACAAGAGATGTGTTCACATAAGTGTCAATCCGGCCAGATACATAGCACGTAAAACAACTGTGTGACCTAATCAACCCTACTTTTCTTTATATCCTTGATGCCTCATGATTCTTCTGTCCATGCTGTTGACTATATATATATTTCCGATTTTAAATACTACCAGTTGATTAATTATTATTACTTCTATTTTCTCTATGTAAGCTTTTTGTGGAAACGGAACGACCATTGATGAAACAATTTGTGTCTGTATCAGAAGCTTCATCGTCCTGACGCACATTTTTGCCTACAACGAATAAGAAACTGGCTCAAATAATAAGTTCATTTAGAGATTACTCAATGTTCTCCATCATTGAAACTCCCCAGCAACAATGTGATCCATTCCTTTTCTTCACAAACGACCCATACATTTTAATAATAGGAGGACCTGGGCCACGAAGGACAAGGCTGAAACTGAAGACAAGAATTGAGTAGACACACAGCAAGCCTACATTCATTATATTGGTGCATAATCCCAACATCGTACAACAGCAAAATCCTAAACATAGGTCAATGCTGCCACAGGGCACTAGTTTAACTGTTTCAACTCTGAAGTATTCTTGAGCTTCGCAAGTTTGATTTCTACAGCGATATGACTCGGCATTGTCCGAAAGACAACCACTGGCGTGTCCAGTACCAGGAATCACTTTCACTTGTTCTCACTCACCCTGTCTAGGTCGAAATAATAGTGACGGAAGCAAGTATACCTCTAACTCACCGGCATAAAAGACCTCAGCCCTAGACGGGAACATGTTGGCATTGCCGACAGTTACACAAAAGCAACTAATGGCCACACTTTTACTGGAAGCTTCTCTCTCTATATCATTCTACTTTTAGCCCAAGCCCACTTTGGTGTAAGCCTTTACGGCTTATCAAATGTCATTTGATTCCGTCAGCTTCATAATCTCACAATCCCAATATAAATTCAAAACATTAGAACAACTTTAGGGTCAAACACAGTGAAAGTTGGCCAGAATCTGTTGAATACGACCAAATAAAAAACAGTGATTACTCGTTCGATTCCGGTACTGCGAACATGTATACGCCTTACACGGGAACGTACAAAAGGCAAATCTCGCGTGAAATTTCTAGCTTTGTGAACCAACTTACGTAGGCAAAGCAACTCCATATAATAAGTTCATTTTGCACACACTTCACACATACACATACAGATAGTTCACCTAATTTTGTGAACCATGCCACGATGTACCATCCTTGAAAAATCACAGGACTTACAACGATACGTCTGCAGCTATTCTGAGGCCAACGATTCTATGTTGGCATATCGTCGTAGGGTACATTCACCTATCTCAAATCCTCATCTTTACCTTTATCCGTCAATTATACCATGCTCTTAGCCTCGTATCGTGGAAAATATATTACTGCCAAATATATAGCATATCTGATCAACCTAGAGACAGCAGAGTAATTTAGGCCAAGACTAATGGCATGCAATAGGTGGGTTTAAACCTGAAACTTTTATTCACCTTAGTCCTTTTGACAATTACTCTTGCACAGAGCTGGCTCATCATCCCTAAACTCACTACTGACTTTCACCCATTCGATTACCCTGATACAGGAATAATCGCTGCATTAGACACATGGCTTCATGGACGGTTATTTCACTGTGGATGACAACATAGATGACGATGACTGACTAATACGAGTTGGTGGACTTAATGGGGCAACAGTAGCTGCTTTTTGTCGATCTATAGAAGATTGTTTAATCGTAGAATTACCACCGCTACGTTTTGGGATTAACATCTGTAGGTTTATAAACTAAACGTGGGTCATTTACATAGGCTTTCCCATCAATATCCATATTTTTTACAACAACATCAACTTCTAATTCGAGTTCAAGTTGTGTAGAACTTTTGTTTAACTCAGCAACAGTAGGTATTCTGTCGGTCTCATCGTGATCAGCTAGGGACGATTGTTCATCATCATTATCATGATAACAAATATCCACTTTTTCGTCTATGGGATGATGGTGCTCATCATTTACAACAGAAAAAGATGACTTAGGCCTTTTATTGTGAATTTCTAGAGTAGTTTTTACATCTCTTTTTGATTAGTATAATCTTGCAAAGTTGTTGAATGAGAATTAAACTCTTAAGTTGCTATTAGTTTCCGTGCAGGCCGAAATATCGTCTGTAGCTCACCACTCAACAACGGCTTGCCAGCTGCACCTACAGGTTTCTTCACTGCACCAGCACCTCCATCATGCCTTGTAGAGCAGCTGAACAATTTATACAGTTAGCCGGGCTTTCATGGGTTGAAAACTGAGTGATGAGGTAGATACCAACTCCATGGTTCACCCTGGTTTATCACTCCCTCCACTTAACTTTCCGTCATATGTCTGTAAACAGCATCCTTATACTTAATCCACAGATTTAAATCTAGGACAGACGTCCCTCTTAAACACAGACGTCGCTTAAAAGCAACATTTTCGTTACAAAGAAATCGGTCATCCTTGTGTTTCCACGATACACATATAGTGATTATTATCTCTTTAAAATCCCACCGTTCGAGTAACAGGTGAAATTACCAACTTAGGTCACAGCATAGCCACAGTCTAAACGTACCACTCACTAGAAATAAAACAAACAGAATGTCAGACCACTTCCATATGAATTGATGAAGGCTATGATGGATGAGTAGCAGGATGAGCTGCTCACACTTTTACGGATGCTGATAACGGTTTTCTTAATAAGGGGAAATAGATTTGATTAACACTATCGCATATTGGGTATTGAATGGTCCTGTAAAGGACGTTGGATTTTGGAAATCTGACCTTGGGCGTCCTGTGTACCCAGGAGAGTCATGCTTTCAGCTTCTAAGGGACTTTACTTGTCCCTGAGACATTCGTTTGTAAACTGGAGTCACAAGTTTGTTGACAGGAATTTACTGAGAATTAATTTTTAGTGGTGAAATCATTCATGAAACTGTTTTACCAGGGGTTGTCATGTACCACTTGCAGTTTTTATATAACTATTTTGTAGTGAATCAGATAGCACCCAAGACAACCGTATTATTTCATTCTTGGCAGTTTCCCCAAAGGATGCATTGCTTGCTGCAGTTGACAATACAAAGCAAATGTATTTATACAGCCGTAAAGACCATCAGTGGTCTTTATTTGCTCAACTGTGAGTGATGTGCATACATGTTTCGAGTTGTGTAGAAAAATACATAAGCAGGTTTCATACCTGTTTTTTACCCCGAGTGAGCGGTCACTGGTGATTGGGGACAAGTCGGGTGACGTGTATAGACTTCCTGTAGGCGAAGAGCGACCTATATCTGAAACGGATTTAACATGCCTTTGTGGTCATCTGTCTATACTGAGCCACCTGGTAAGTGCTTATTTCATTGCTTATTTAATTCTTACTAACTGTAGGCTGGATAACTCGTGTTATTCTGTGAAATGCTTCAGTAGGTCATGTACTACATAAATACCATTTTACAAGTGTAAATATTATGACTAGATGTTGGGGATTAATAGCGTCACTTCATCCTTGATTAAAGAATAAACACGAATGTAATATTAGGTATGCTAATGATATAGCCTCAAGCACCTATATATACTGTATTACACGTATTTAGTTCTAAGGAGCATATTAGATTTTTAATATTTATAACCCATATTGAACTGATATTCGTTAGATAAATATGTAAGTATACTTTCAGGATTATTGCTCCGAGTTTGTTTTCATGTTAAAAAAGTTTCATTGCAATATCTTTTCGTTCAACTTAACTATTTTTTTTATCAATACCAGGCTATTTCAGATGACGAAGTGTTCCTTGCCTCATGTGATCGCGATGAAAAGATACGCATCAGCCGATTTCCTCAAGCATATATTATCCAATCATTCTGCCTTGGACATACCTCGTATGTTTAGCATATTGCATTAATCTTCCGGAAAATCGATAGATTTGTTTCTCAGTTGGGTTTTATTCCTAACAGCCGATATTTGGTTTCAGCCGGTGGGGTAAGTTGATACATGAACTTATTTTATAAATCTGTGTCTTTCTCTCTACGGTTTATGTTATATTTTTATACCGGAAGTATCAAAGAAACGAGGATTGGTGCACTCATCTTTGTAGCGAACATGACTATGTTAATCTTGTTGTTCCTGAATGTCATCAGAGTCGATAATGGCACTGAGTGTATGTCCCATTTCTTACTTGTTTTTAGAACTCAGTCAGTTGGAACAGATTTCTCATGTATCAGACTTCAACTCACACATTGTGTTAAACTGACAGTAATATCCACTTGCCAACGTTGAAAGTGGTATGGGATTTGGACCCATAACCTACTGATTGAAGTTCACCTGTCACAGTCATTCGGCCACATCATCTCTAGGTGACCACACTTCATGTAGTGTTTTTGTAATGCTTTTAGCAACTGTGGGAGGAAGTCTGACTCCGTGGTTAAGTCATTAGAAGTCAAATTACACCTTTCACTATTATTTCATAGGTCAATTCTGACAGTGGTACGTCGCTGTTGGATTCTGTGATGAATGATAGGTTTTAATAGATTCGGAAGTGATTCGCAAAACATCGAGGGGTTATCTATTGTATCATTTATTGTCCTCACGAAGCTGTAGGTTGTCTTAAACTTTGTTGCTCTTTACTGGTGCATGATGCATGTTCTTCAAACTCTTCCCTTATCTTAACACAGACATACGTAGGTTCACGGGCATTCAAACGTACATAAAATTCTGTCTCTAGAATAAATAATGTTCTCATATGGAGCTACTTTTAGTAGTTTTAGATTTACTTTAGTCTTTGGTTTATAAGGTGGCATATATATACAACTTTTGAGTGTGAATAACGTGACATTATCTTGAATTGTGTGATCAAAGAAATCACTACTATTGATGATTGGTAGTGGCTGAAACACCTCAGTGAGGAAGACATTAAAAGTTTTCCTGACTACAAGGTATAATAAATACCTTACGCATAGTCTAGAATTCTAACTCCTGGATGATTGTTTCCATTTGCTTTCATTACCTTTTTTATTGGTATGTTGGTTTGAACAATCATCATTTTCAAACGTTGAAACCACCGCCTTTTGGTTGACTAATCCAGAAATACTAGTCTCATCAGGTACTTGTGCATGTTTGAGACAATTATCTAAACTAACTGGGATGTCTATAACATCATTCTCAAAATTACTGTTTTTTGGAAGAGACATGAAGACATTGTCTAACTCTCATGTTTAACACATATGTCTAAATCGTTAGTCACGAATGGTTATCTAGCATGTTACCCTCTTCATGCAGTCTTACTGTAAAGAGCAGATTACTTTTTAAAGAATTAGTTAGCCAGATCAGGTTCGTCGTGTATCAGGCTATAGTTTTCATTTATTGTTTCAGGGTCTATGAAATCACAGTCGTCCAAGCAGAAGCAGTTGGCGTGATATTCGAACCTGAGGCCCACTGGCCAAGGACCCACATCTTCGATTTAATTCTTGATTTATTTGCGTATACCACATGTATGGCATACTGAAATAGAAGTCAGCGTACAACAATTTAGTTGGCTGAGTTATGTTACATGTTGTTCTCTCCAGTTTAAGTCTCAGAGTGGTTTTCGAATGTTTATTTAGTCACTTATATTGTTAAATTTTTTTTACTTTTCACCTTTTAGGATGGCGATTTGAAGGTTTGGAATTGTATTACGGGTCAGTGTTTATCGACACATCATATAGTGGCAGATGAATTACCATCGCCTGCAGTTTCTGAATTCGATTTCAATTCAGAAGCTGTTGTATCCAGATTGTATTTTGCCAGAAACGATGTAATTGTTTGTTCTTTTCTATCGTAAGTGTCACAGTTAGAAAGTTCTCCCCTTCTGTTTTATTCTTTGGCTGTGCTTTTTTAATGTTGAAATTGTTCTGGTAACCTACGAATGTAGATAATTAATTGAATTAGTAGGAAACTTCATAGAAGCGTCCAATAATGTCATTTTATGATGGCTTGGGGGGAAATTATATTGAATTCTCATAATAGATTAATAATTATTTTTAAATTAGGCTTGCTGATTTTAAAATCTGATTGAGATAAAACATTTTAAAACACTGTGCAAATTAGAAATCACGTGCATGCTCAGCTTATTCGATATTCAACCCTATTTTTACATCCGTTTGTGATACCACTCTCAAGTACTCGTGTACGTCAACCACACTTCGAAGATCATACCTGATCTGTAGCTGTTTGACTCATCAGTTACTTAATAATATTGCATTCTAGGTTGATAATATCGATCATTCTACAGACTGGATAACTGAGCTTCATAGTTTATCCCCACTACCATGTCAAGCCCCATTAGGTGGACACGTATTCAGAATCCGTGATCGGTAATTTGTGAATAAACTATATATAGACCAATAAGTGGAAACTTTGACAGGTAATTAAGTCTAACAAAATATATGCTGAAATCAATCGATTTCTGATAAACCCAACATTTAAATACACATGAAGGTGCCTGCTCTAGGTAAAATACTGGAGTTCTTCCTTTTGTAAATAAAGTAGACAACACCCCATATCCCTTCTGCTTAATATAGTGTGCAGATGTATAGCGTAGCGACAGATACATGGCGTTCAACTTAATGGATCGGTATTCGAATCCGTCTTAGCCTACGGTCATTTGGACAGTCGGGTTTCATAATTGTTCCTTGAAGCGTAGATTTCTTTCATTTTGAAATTTATGAATGTGTGTTGGATTCCTGATAGCATCGGTGGTTAAGTGGTAAGATGCCGACCAAGCATGCACGCAGTCCTGTGTTCGATTCCCGGACGACACACTCCTAAACCAAGCCTAGTTTACTGGTCGATAGTAGGTTCAAAAAAAGAGATGGGGTCGGGTGGGCCTAGTAAAACACAGCACTATGGCTATTGGAACTTCCGAGCTTCAAGCCTGAAGTCGCATGTTCTACTAGGAACTCAAAGGAATGAAAGAAGAGTATTCCTGAGATTTATGTTCTTGTATACTAATCAGTCACTGAAGTTTATTATCGGGTTGTTGTGAGTGATCAATTAAGTAGTACATAACTGCCCATTCATCATTATTAAACTGGACTCAAAAAAGCTCTTGTGTTCAATCAACTCTCCCCCTTTTATGATAAATTTATATGCGTATTGTTTAATATAAACAAGGCATTTTCTTTGTTGTTTTTATTTTCTTTTCCTTTTAATAAATTCACAGTCATCCAGTATTATTAGCATTTCATTTATGCGTTGAAAATGATGAAAATGTATATTGGGGATCAAAAAGTTTTACTTCTACACCAGATAATTTACCGCTCATTGATATGGTATTGACATGCTGCAATAACGTGGAAGAAAATGATAATTCTATTGCAAATAGTTTAATTGTTGGACTGTGTTCTACGCCAGCTGGTGGTGTTGGTTTGTTCTCATGGAGGTTAACTATGCAATACAATGCTTGTGATAAATTATATTCCTTAAAGTGGGAAGATGTAAGTATTGTATTATAACAGTTCATTAGAATTTATATATATATATATATATATATATATAAATCAAACTTGGATTTTGCAGTGATTTTGATTATTTTGTAACATAAATTTTGTATGAAGTGACATCAATTAGAGAACTATTGAAGACTGAGGAGCTCTGGACAGTTGTTTCGTCCTGGCTTGGGACTCTTCAGTATTTGTTGGGGTCCCACCCGGTGTCTCAATGATCAGCAGATAGGCCTGTCAAACTGAAGATTTTGGAGTCATGGGTTTGAACTGCCGAATAGTTCGAAACTAGGGCATAATAGCTGTCTAGTGCCCCTTCATTTTTTTAAAACAAAAACTTAGTACATTATGGGTACTAAGAGATGGACCACACAAGATATCATAGTTTGTGCGATGACTAGAATACTGCCTGCACACCCAGGTCAAAGCAAGTGGTTGTTTTAAGGGGCGGTCCCCGTGGAACTTTCACTTGAAGTTTGATCCACAAGCCAATGGAGCAGCGTTCCCGTGGATCTAGGGGTGTTTATACGCCATTCGATCTTATCCGATTCTGGAATTCATGTACACCATAGGTTTGGAATCAGGGTTTTCCAACTCCTATAGGTAGACCTTGATATCCACCAGTCCAGACGTTTGCATTCTCCTTTTCACCATTGTGAGGAACACCCCCTGCGGCATTAAAAAGCAGGGAATAGCCATTACCCGGTAGAGATTATGAACGCGTGGCCACATGAGAGCAACTAGGTAGTATCACCAACCCTCCTCATACAGTCAGTGTAGCTCATAGCCTGGCTATATGGGGAACACGTTCCGGATAACTAAGATAATCAAATCATGCTTTGTTTACTTCCTCTCCCCTCTTTTACTGTTCCTTTCCAGTGATTATATCCTCTGTTTAGTTGTCATTTCATTCCTCCGACTCATATTTCCCTTTCTGTAACCAAACAAAATTTTACTTGCCTCTGTTTCTTTGTTATCATCATACAGTTTCAACGAATAAATTGTATATCAGAAGATATTCTATCAAGAGTTCCAGGTGAGTGAATGATTCCATTTTAAAGTTTAATAGCAGCCAATTTACTCTCATGCTATTTTTTATTTATTTATTCAACTTCTATTCAATGTCAACCGATTTCAGACTCAGGAATAGAGATAACCAGCTGTGACTGATTTAGTGTCATGTACATAATGCACTTATTATAAATAACGTACTCAAGAGTGACATTTATTAAACATGTGATGTCGGGTGACTCGACTCAGGCATGTAGAATATATTAACCAGAAGTTAACATTGGAGGATTAGAGAGAAAAGGTCAAAAAGCTCAGTTGAGATATCTCTTCGGCGATTTCATTCTTAAAAGCAGCTGTACAGTCGCATTTCTATATATAGGTTCACACTTAGTTACAATCATTATTTAATTCAACGAATTTTATTGAAGTGTTGGTTTGCAGGGGTTTGAATGGTCACAGGATTTCATCATGAGCTGACGTCGGCTAGAGAACCATTGAAAAGACTCGGAATACTGAACAACTGTTTCGTCCTGGTCTGGAACTCTTCATCAGTACGCCCCCACCGCCGTTTGCTTCTGTTACCTGCCGATTACAAGGCAACCTCATAGACCATTAAGCCACCGGAGTCGGATCCGATGCCGCATGAATTCCAGCTTCTGCCAGTTTGCGATTTTACCGCCATCACAAGCCATTGTTAATGGTGATGAGTACTTATCCTCACATTCGACCTGCTCTACCTAAGTGGCTTAGTGGAGAACGCATTAACGTTCGAAACAATGGATGCTGGGTTCAAGTCTCAGAGGGAACATTACTACCCACTGGAAATACGGACAGTTTACGAGTCCCAAATGGGAAGGAATACACATCCTGGATTCTACTGCTATGGATGGATGGATAGATGGTCCATCAAATAACGACTGGAATGAATTGTTTGAAAGGAACTTGTCCACCCTCTAGACCTACCATGAATTTAGTTATCGTTAGCTGTTTATTTGTTATATTTTCATTCCCTTCAGATTTGCGTCGTTTATTATAAAAATTATTGTTTCATTTTGTTCCTCACATCCATCCATTCCACACCTTCGTGTTCGGTAAAAACTATTTTACATATTACGAAACTATTTTATGATCCTATGCAATCTTGTTTCTATGCCTCTTGCGATCTATGTTCATATCTCCAAGCTTTCTAGTCAATTTAAGAATTACTGTCTCCTCCCTGATGGGAATTTTCAACTCTTAGTAAATCTCAGTAATAGCTAATATTTGACTTAATATACTGAGTGTCCGATTGTATGTGTATTTAATTGCCTGTATGAACTTTCAATCATATACGAGAAATGTTTTTAATTTTATCACTGTCTTCTCTAGTATTATGCGTACCAGAGCTTTGGAACTACCATCCCTTACTTTGTAGTTTCCTGCATTAAAAATTAATCTATCTAAAACTGTAACTTGTGTGAGTTTTACACCAGTTGTGTATTTGCTACTGCAAATGCTCACTCAATTTTGCAATCTAGAAGTATCATGAACATAATCTTAATAGTGTGTATTTCGTCATTTATATTTTACGTCGATTTCTCATCACTTTGGTAAATCTAGTTATAATCTCGTTTTCTCTTTAGCTTAATTTTGCATTTCATGTTCATTGATTATGATAAACCGAAATCTTCGGTGTCTGTCAGCTCTTAGTATGGACACTTCGACGATGTGAAGTTGTTTTGGAACCAGGGCTACTCTCATTTTTCCTCCTATTTTGATACATTTGGTCTAGTAGCTTATTCTATGATTTTTGAAAAAATGGTATCAGGGTTCAAGTCCCACTGGTAAATCATGTACATCCAGTTGACGAGTCCCAAATAGGACAAAATGTGCATAATGGACTCCACTGTTTAGTCACCATCAACTGAAATAGCTTCACGACAATCTTTTTCAGTTTGTTGGGAAACTACTGAAACACATTTAAGTAATATAATTCATTTTAAACAAATATATTTTTGACGGACTATGTCTCATGCTAAATAGGTGTGTATATTGTAATAGCTGTGCATTATTGTCATCCGTGGATATGTGGCTCATCGGCTTGAGCACTAATATTCTAACCAATGGGTGGTGGGTTTGAGTTCCATCCCACCTACATCAGTCTTGGAACCTGGGTAGTAGTATCATCAACCGTCATATGAAAATTTTGTTCCGGGTTCACTTATTTCAAACTAAAAGGCATTCATCTGATTGATTATGCGATAAACAGTAGAGTTTCATACAATTCTTCCCTTTTGGTAAACTTGAACAAAGCAAGAACAGCAAATGTACCAGAATATAATATGAGCTCAATTGACACTAGTAACTAATGTGACGAGTCTAGTCCTTTTTTTTGGTGCAAACTGAATTCTATCAGTCAAGTTTGCAATATGGTCGGCATTCTAGGTAGCTCGCCATCACAGCGCACATTGATTTGATGATAGTAGATAGTTGGAGGCGATCGGCAGGAAGCCTTGGACCTAGGGACATGATTTCCTTCAAGGTTGCAGATACGCCTTGCTGACCAGTGAGTGCCAACTAGCACGAAACCTAGGTCAAGCAAGACTTCCTGTGGCCGATTGCCTCAAACTATCTAATATTATAATATGAGCTCATTTTCTTTTATTTCATGGATTCTGGTTAGAACCTAAACAATACAAAAAGATTTGAACATAGTGTTTTCTCTATGACCATAGGTGATATAATTCCGGAATGATGTGAGTTGTTAAATTATTAAGAGTTAAAAAATGACTGACTATTTAAACCGTTATCTAATGAATATTCTTTCAAAAAGTGGGGAAGAAGTCCAATGTTTTGAACTGGAATAAAGTTTAACTAGGAAAAATGTATATATATATATATAGTGGGGAGCTACGTGACCGCAGAAGATCTGTTTCTATAAAAAAGGCAAAATAGCAAAAAATTTCATCAAATGAAATATTAGAATTTTCCCAACAAAACAGGACATATAGGAGAACGCATGATGCAAAAAATAATAATTTTGTAATCTTGATTTTGAAGCGTTAGTCACCAAGGTTGAGCATGACCCACCATTCTCTTTCTGAGTTCATAGATTTGGGCATTAACCGTTTGATGGCGATTGGCTCAGCAAACTAGGTGTTTTATGTCTGCCCATTATTTTAAACGCCTCTAGGCCTTACGTAACCCATGGTATTGACATGCTCCTGGTTTCTACACAAAATTTTGAACTGTGATACCTCGTTTTTCAAGGATATTCGTATAATTATCTCATAATTCTTAACAATTAAACAAACTACATAATTCTGTGCTTACATTACTTATAGTTCTTATCAGTTACTTCTTGTCATGAAATCAGTTGACGAGATTGTGAAGTTGCACCGATTGAGATGGTTAGGACATGTGTTACGCATGCATTCCTAGCCGTCGATTGCCTACCCTAAGCTGACGGGCAATGTTAGCTGACTGATATAGGATAAATCAGGTTGGTAAAGAGCTGGCACGTAGTGGTTAAACCAAAACATGGCTTCATCAGTCAATGAAATCCATAACAGTTAGTTTAAGCTGGCCACATCGAGATGTGTAGATTTCAAGGCTGATTGGGGTCCTCAGGATGGTAAAAACCAATGTCGGTTGAAGACATTTGGTGATATGTCTCAATGCTTGACTCAGATGCATTCACTCTTTGTGATTTATGATATCCGATAAAACTCAGTTGTTCTTCCAGATTATTCTTTTTGCCTCACATTTCTGTTTATTATCTCTCTTTATTTTGAATATCTCTTTATCCTGTCCTCTTGCTTTGTGTGCTACATAGAGTGTGGCAACTCGAACTCTTGCGCATTTGTGCAAAGTTCTATCTTGAAACCAGTCACTCACTCCTTGTCATCGCAATAAAGGTGTGTTCAAACCTTCCTGTTTCGTAATTAATAATCATTTGCATTGTTAAGATTGTAGGCAGTTGCAAAGAAACCTCGAAACATTGTAAACAATTAGACTCTTATTATTATCCGTGGTACATCTCTCATTCTTGCTTTGTTCAAGTCATTAAGGCTTCAAGAAATATTTTGTATGGATACTAAGTAGTAACTAGTGTTATGCACCTGTTCCTTTGTTTCGTGCAAACTGTATGTCTGTTTTCAACATAGAACTTTGCATTGATGTGCAGCAGTTCAAGTCGCCGCACTCCATGTAGCACACAAAGCAATGCAAAATAGAGACAGTAAACAGGTATGTGAGACACAAGGAATAGTAATAACGAAGAACAATATAGTTTCATTGGAAATCATAAGTCACAAGGAGTGGATGCATTTGCTCCAGCCATTGAGAACGATTTTAAGCCATGTCACCGATTGTTTCCAAACATTGGTTTTTACCGTCCCACGGACCCCAACTAGTCAGGAAGTCTACACCTTCCTACGTGGCCTAAACTTATTGTTGTAGATTTCATTGACTGGAGGTATGTTTTGGTTTGACCACCGCTAGCTCTTTTCCAACCTGACCCTGTGTCAGCTAACATTGCCAGTCGAGTTATGGCTATAGCGTTGGCTAGGCATGTGTACGTAACACATGTCCTAACCATCTCAGTCGATGTAGCTCCACAACCTCGTTGATTGATTTCCCCTCCTTACCTAGCACTCGACGCCTAACCTCAATATCGCTCACCATATTATACCACTTCATGCGGTACCAATGATCAAAGACAGCTAGTCTTTTCATGTCTTCCACTCTCAATGGCTGTGTCTCGCTCATAGCCATAAAGGACGGAGCGGACTACTGAGCAGTACACAAGTCCTTTGATCGATAGCCAGTCGAATATCACGTCTACATCCTCTCTGGCGTGCAAACTGAGCTCTATCAGTCAAGTCTTAACATTGTGACCACCATGCCGAGTGGTTCGCCATCACGGTGAACACTAAGTTAGTTGTTTTTATTAGGTGGTGGCTGGAGGCAATTGGTACGAAGTCTTAGATGTACGTTTCCTGCTTATTGCCACTCACCAATCAGCAAGGCGTATCTGCTATCTTAAGGGGTTCGAACCGGTGTCATCGAGTGCTGCTCTCAGAGAGGTTACCAGTGACCTGTTCATGCTGGCAAATAACCTTATGTACGACTGTATTAAATACCTTAATTAGATATTATTTCAACGAGGATATGTGTGGATTGGCTTAATCTCCGCTTATCTGAATTTTCTTTTTTTGCCGTAAATACGACAATTTTGCAAAGGAATATCTAAAGCACATTCCCTGTTAAGATAAAAGTCAGTGTAAATTTGTTAATGTAAGCTAGTACCTAGATAATCATAGGCATACAGTTTGAGATACACTAGATACAAGGCAAGCAATTACCTGCTGTTATTCCTGTACGGTGACCTGCTTAAGGTTTTGCGCTACCAAAACTCTCCATCTCCATATTGTATGTGGTTTCTCTCGTTCGATTTTGTTTTACTCGCTTAAAATATGACCTCCATTTGTATTATCTACTTTTGTGAGTATTCAAAATGTTTACAACCTTTTTGATTCTCAAGTTTCTACCAGACATGAGAAAAGGCCTAGTCGTGGCTGGCGTGTTCTAGTACGTGAGATAAACTGTCCTTGAGTTATGTGTCCTTAGGTCTCAAAATGTATTCCTGGACTTTATGTAATTGACTTTGAACCAAATGGTTGTAGATTTCTCGAAGGAGATGAAGCAGAATAATCATAATGGATTGATTGGTTTGTGCTTCAGGTCAGAGGAGCATTGTGCCACAAGATCTATTGTCAATGAATATATTATTTGAAGATCCTTTTCGAAGGGAAAATATCATGCAATATCTTCGCTGAAATTTCTGTACATTGTATAAGCACTATCCAGAATAAAGCTATAACTATTATTATTATTATATTCCATTCTAAATGCTAAGTTTAATACCTTCAATGGATACCTCTCACCGTTTGTTTTTGTGCATATTTTGCCTTAAGAGTTAATAAGTGTTACTTAATATATTTACTGTTTTCAGCCTTGATGATGGACTAACACCAAGATGATGTTACAGGATTGGACTGCACCGACTCCTGGATTAGAAATAGGAAGTGAAGTGGTAGAGCACGTTGACCGCTTCACTTACTTGGGAAAGTACCATCAGCCCCAACGGGTTGATCTCTGACGAAATCTCAGCACGAATACAGAGGGCTAGTTTCGCATATGCCAGTTTACTCCCTCTCTGGCGTAGACGTGATATCCGACTATCGACCAAAGGGCGTGTGTACTGCTCAACAGTCCGCTCCGTCCTCCTTTATGATTGTGAGCGAGACCTGGCCATTGAGAGTGGAAGATATGAAAAGATTAGCTGCCTTTGATCATAAATGTCTGTGTTCTATCTCCCGTGTGAAGTGGTATAATAAGGTGAGCAATATTGAGGTTAGGCGTCGAGTGCTAGGTAGGCAGGAGAAATCAATCGACGAGGCTGTGAAGCTACATCGACTGAGATGATTAGGACATGTGTTACGTATACCTAGTCATCGCCTTCCTCGACCGACGGGCAATGTTAGCTCATATAGGGTCAGACTGAAAAAGAGCCACCAGTCAATGAAATCTGCAACAGTTAGTTTAAGCCAGCCACATAGGAAGGTGTAGACTTCCTAACTGGTTGGGGTCCTCGGGACGGTAAACACCAATGGTTTCTGGAAACAATCGGTGACATTGCTCAAAATCGTTCTCAATGGATAGCGCAGATGCATCCACTCCTTGTGACTAAAAATTTCCGATAAAACTATATTGTTCTTCGTTAATACTATTCCTTTTGTCTCACATACCTGTTTACTGTCTCTATTTTGCATTTCTACTTTCGTCTCTTGCTTTGTGTGCTACAAGGAGGGAGTGTAGCGACTTGAACTGCTGCACATCAGTGCCAAGTTCTATGTCGTAAAGAGAAAGACCGAACACCATTTAGCTTGACATCTGTTTTGTCCCAGTTCGGAACTCTCCAGTAGCTTGCAACCATGACCCTATTATCACCAGGGTTAGTACCCAGGCCCTTCAGATTATACGGCCAACCGTTTGGTTATTCAATGACTGATATGAAATCGAATAGCCAAATAAATTTTAACTTCAACCAACGAGTTTGCAGTATATTATACAGTGTAACAGCCAGTCAATCAATGGCATAATGGCATCAGTTGTTTTAACCTTGTCTTCTTCATTTTTTTCTCTTTGATTTTTCTTTTAGTTCCAAGTCCTCGAACAGAACTTCTGAAGTTATTTTTCAAGTGTAAAGACAACGATTCAATGATACAAGCTTATGAAGAGAATAAAAAGCTACACCATGAGAATGTTACGCAACGTCATTTACGGAGTCAAAAAATGCGTAAATTGAATAAAGCTTCCCAGAATAATGTTGACAAAGAGATAAGTGTATAGTTGGGCGGGGGGAGGCAGGAGTTTTTTTGTAATTACAAAAAGAATAATTACTTGTAACTACTCTTTTCTTTCTGCTGTTATCATAGGATGGAGCTCTAGTTTCCCCCTAATAGACTAACCGGTTAAATGTGATATGACCAGTAATACGATCTAATAGACTGTGAGCGGTACGAAACTAATAAGCCAAAAAAAAAATCTACTCGGCGAAGTACAAGAATAGAGTCCCAGGATTGTAAATGTTCCAATGACCCTGAACGCATGCTAGTCATTGGTTGAGGAAGCTTACCATTATTCTAGCGCTAAAATGAACCCTGTTCATGAGCTCAGATGCAAATTCCATCCAGATCACGTTTTCCAGTACTGCCTAGATAATGGATTGATAGGACGTACTCGGATATGCGGTTGTGGTGCTTCCATGAACCTCCAGTCGTATACCCAGGTCACTGATGGATATGTATTCAGATGTACACAGTGTAGGAAGCGAATAAGTGTGCGTACTGGTAAGTGACACTCTGAATTAATTGTCTTCTAGGAACTTTCTTTGAAAAGTCGAAACTGTCTTTGACGAATATCTTGTTTCTGTCCAATTACTGGGTTTTAAAGTCCGGGGTGCGATCTACTGCGGCTCAAACAGCTAATACGTTGACGTCTACTGTGCAGTGGTTTCAATTTTGTCGAGATTTAGCCTCGTGGAAGATGAATAGTATTACTCAGGTGTTGGGAGGAGTCGGTGTAGTCGTCCATATCGATGAAACCGTTCTTATCAAGAAGAAGTACAATCGGGGGCGTGCCAGAGCGAATAACGTTTGGGTTTTAGGAATTTATGACACCCAGATTCGCAAAGGGTTTATCGAGCTGATTCCAGATAGGAGTGCTGATACACTCCTCCCTATTATTCAGCGTCTCGTCTTACCAGGCACCACCATTCACACAGATGAATGGGCAGGATACAACCGATTATCGCAACTGGGTTATATACATCATCGAGTCAACCATTCCGATGACTTCGTCGACCCCAGGACCGGTACTCATACCAATTCAATCGAAGGCTTCTGGGGAAGACTGAAAAATAGAATCAGAGCGATCAACGGATCTCAAAACGAAGTTGTTTTCAGTCACCTAGATGAATATATGTATAGAAATTGGTTCAATTTAAAAACTGAAACCCCTCTACAAAATTGGGAGATTTTTTTATCTCATATTAGAGAAAAATATCCTGTTTAATGTTTTTTATGCTTTTTTATGTAAATATACGTAAAATTTTATGCAAAAATCGTCATTTTTCCTGATTGGTCGGCTCAAGGTCACTCGTGCGTTCGCATCCCTTGGGACTCTATTGTAGAACTTTGCCGACTACTCTAATCACTGATCACAGTGTCAACGTCTACCACCACCACTACAACAGCGACCATACTGTTGACCCACATAAACAACAAGAGTAGAAGACGGACAGATGTTAAGAGAGCCTTCACATTCTATATCAAGCAACAGTTAGAACACTTGTTAGCAATGCAAAATACATAAGTCTCAGGATTTCCCTGTGGACGAGAATCGACGCTGAAATGATGATGAGTGGTGGCGTCATTGTCAGTGAATGAGCTATGAGTTGATGATGCGTGTGTATGTGGGCACATCAGAGTGTTTCAGTGTGTGTTTTGTGTGGGAATTGTTGTGCATCTATGCATGTGACGGAGGAGACACATTAAAATCTCTGCCCCCAGAGAGAATTGAACTCTCGACCCCTGGTTTACTAGACCAGTGCTCTAACCACTGAGCTATGGGGGCACGTCTTCACCTCCCTCCCCATTTGTGTAGTGGCTGCGGCTGAATGCTGTCAAATGCACAATCAGTGTGCGTCAATAAGAAAAATGGCAAGGCTGTGTCAACGGCTATACAGGTGTGTGTTAAATAGAGCGCGAATGCCAGGCATGGAATGAAGGGATTCGAATAAACAATGTTCAACAGTGGAGGATATATAAATAAGGCGTATACAGCAGATAATATTTAACTATAGGCAGTTAATTACTATATATCAAACAGAGTATTAATACATTAGGTGAGTTAAACTTCAATAGCAAACAATAGTCATGAAGTAACAAATATGCAGACACTACTTACTAGTTTTAAGTAGTATGGAGATTAACACGAAAGAATATCAAGGTATAGATAGAAATGGAATAAACGTGGAGGTTATTCCTTTTCGGAAGTATTGCACTCTCTAGAATGAACGTCAGTTTGGAAAAGGCTTTTCCCTTAAGCTCTGCAACATCAATGTTGTGTAACAGACGGCAGGGTGGTTACCTTTGAGCAACCAGTCAAAGTAAAGGAATGTTGGAGGTGGTAAGCCAAATCATCGCCTGTTGGATGCATCCATCGTCGAGGTATTAATTCTACTGAGTTCTATAACTTATTCTTGCATTATTGATTGTTACAGTATTTGCGAAAGAAAACTATCATGTTTTTGTAAGTGTGGTTGATTGATTTACTATTCAAGGTTATTTTGAAGGTTGTTCATACCACCTGCTGTTTTTTAACACCACAATGCTGGAAAATTAATTCATGAATCATTAATCATAGTCATCCTTATGTGTGTCCAAACTAGGTTTACTTTTAACAGTTTCAAAAAAGTTTGGGCGTTAGCTATATGATATAAATTATAAGAATTTTTGTATTTCACAATGAATGAAAAACAAAACGATATCCGTTGTTTTTACTGACGTTTCGCTATACACTAGTGTTAATACCTTCATCAATGTATTATTAAACCAGAAATTAAAAAATCTCAGCTCATATACAGCAAACTTAATCATCGGTCTCTAGCATGAGGTAGTTTCTATGATGTTGTCAAGTTGGTTAGTTGATAAAGGTCGCGAAACCAAATGTAAATTGCTAGATTTGATAAGCGCATGAAATCAGTGAAACTTTTATACATTTGGTTCCCTTAATAAATTTCGATAGTGAAAGAAAGATCAGATTTGCAGTATAAAATGTGATATCATCATTCTATTTCACAGGTTCTCATCACGTGCATACTACCTGAAATTACAATGGTTATAAATAATAACATTTCATACTTCAATGTTTGAAAGGTAATAGAGAAAACATTATAAGATGAAAGCATCCGGAATATAAGTATTACAATGTTTTTAGTTTAAGTTACCATTAATTTATATACTATCAAACTATAAAAGAAAAAAGGGAGGGTGAGAGAAGACAGAAAACAGAAAAATCTAATAAGTAGTGTTAGCTTGTACTTCAACATGGCAACTTAAGAAGATTAAAGTCCATCAAATTGAAAAATTGCTTAGTGAGCTGAGCTCACTAGTGTGTATGACTAATCAGTGTAATGAAAGTAATACGGTTATCAAGGGAGTGATAGATCGACTACACTCTTTCTGTGTGTATAAGTTTGGTCTGAGACGTTTGATTGCAACTGCTTCAGCAAATCGTAGTAGATTCGCTGTCCTTTGTATGTTTAATATTTTGAAGGATTTGGAAATCTCGACAAAATGACCCGTATCCACAAGGTGTCTGATAATTGCACTTGTATTGTAAATATCTGCTTCCTGTTAAGCGTAGGTTTCTGAGAATATCCTCTGAAAATCGGATAGAAGTCCTGCCTCCTTTCTGTCCTTCCAATGTACTTGCTGCCGCAGGTGCACATAAATTTATAATTGCAGTTGGAGGTAACATCAGCAGGGTGCTTATGCAGTTTCGATTGGCTTATAGAATATGTAGTGCTGTATAGTGTCACGAGCTTGGCTGCAGGGAAGCATCCCTTTATTGCTCCTTCCATCCTCTTTTAAATCTTTTGCGATACTGCTTCTCCTTTGTATGGGAGAAACATTATGTGTTTACATAGTCAAACTGATTATCACACTTGTATAGATTTTGTCACTTCATGCTTGGTGGGGATGTTGGAATCTGGTCTAACACTGTCTTAGTTCAGTATTCCTATTTGTTATGGCAGTGCTTCTGATATGAGACGTTTCTTTGTGATTTCTAAAATTTGTCTGGATAATTTCAATTTTGTGGTCTGATTCTCTAGCGTGTAGACCAATGGCGGATGATTTCTTAAGCTTTTCTAGTTCAACTGGATTTCCCAGTGGTCGAAAAGATGCTCAACAATGTTCATTTCTTCTGATCGTGATTTCTCACAAGGTTTGTCTGATGTATACTGCATAATATTCCAAGTGTTTTATATTATAGACACAGTTAGATTGCGAATCCTTCAGAATTTGGTCTTTTACATCGACAGAGTTGCTTTGTAGTGTGTCTGATGTTGTGTTTATTGAGTACTCTTCCGATGTCGTCTTACGTTTTTGATTTATTTGGAATGACAACTGTTGAGATCCGTGTCTTCAGAACATGTTTTCGACCGTGTTTAAATTTGGTGGTGATTTTGTTAATGAAGTTCTCCGAATAGTTATTTTTCGTGAGAATTTCACTAAGAGTTGATATTTCTTTTTCTCTTTCCTTTTCATCCGTTATCAAAGAGTGTGCTCATCTAATAAGACTTGAGACAACTGATATCTTTGTACTGATGAGGTATGATGATCCGAAGTCTAAATATTTGTTGGTATGCCTTCTTCCTGAATCCAGATATATTAAAATCATTGCCTTTCCTCTTAAGTAGGCAGTCTCGAAAAGGTGACTCACCAAAGTCTAATTCTGCTCTCCAAATTGAACTGAATTCTTGGGGACCGACTATTAAGTTTTTGTAAAAAGAAACCGTGTACGTTTCGTCTGGGTACAGCGAAAATATCATCAACATATCGGAGTCATATTTTAGGTGTTAGTATATTTGAGATGTTATCTTCAGTTTTAATTTCATACACTTATCAAATTTAACAACCTACATTTGGTTTTGGTATCTCCACTATCCGTATAATGAAGTCAGTGCTATTATACGGACCAGAGTCTTGGCACCGTGTCACGAAGGGCACTTTGAACAAACTACAGACCTTCATCAACAGCTGCCTTCGCTCAATATTACACAAGATTAGATGTCCGGCCAGAA